TTGTTAGGCCTAATGATAACTATAGGCAATTTCATGCAAATGCAGGAATTTGCTTGGAAGTCGCTCCTCGCGGTAATTTACAACAACCTTCTTTAGAAGCACAGATGGAGAAGTGTCAACAGCAGCAATTTCTGGTGACCTCTTCCTTTGCAGCTGCGTGGGTCTCTTCTTCAATTGCTAGTAAAACCCCAGGAACAAATTAATGTACCAACCGTCAGATGGGATGAAAAATAAGGCCTTGGATCCACAGGAAGGACAAAACGGAAGCAAAATATGCTTAACAGTTTTAAGGTCAAACTAGGTGGCATGTTGACAACTATGGGGGCCCCTACGAATATTTTTCTTTGTGCATATTCATGATTATTTCTGCTCATGATGCTATCGCAGAGGTCATACATGATTCCACTTTTATATTATTTCCAATCAATACATGCATCCCTCCCACTTTGAGTTGCACACATGACCATGCATACGCGTGGTGTCGTGAAATAAGTAAAGACAGTGGTACCTTGGTTTATGAACTTAATCCGTTCCGGAAGTCCATTCTTAAACCAAAGCGTTCTTAAACCAAGGTGTGCTTTTCCATAGCAGCGGGGGACTCAATTTACAAATGGAACACACTCAACAGGAAGCAAAACATGTTCTTATTCCAAAGAGTTCACAAACCAAAACACCTACTTCTGTAGGTGTTTGCAGCGTTCTTAATCCAAGTTGTTTGTAAACTAAGCTGTTCTTAAACCAAGGTACCACTGTAATCAAGTTCACACTCGGAAATGGCAGGAAATAACTGGAGAGTCTTTACTGCTCGTGAGGAGACCCTTCACAGAGCCTGAAAAATATTAATTTGTACTGAGCTCAGACACATTGTGCTTAAGCCCTAGGTAAGAGGTGGGTGGAATGCAAAGAAGGTTAGGCATGCCCAGCCCCCGCTGAAACACAGGTAAAAGCAGCACCAACTTCAGTATTTAATTCCCGCTGAGTTCAGGAAGGGTGTGTAACATGCGCTGGATTGTGCTTAGTGCAGTGTAATTTTGTTTATAACAAAGGTTTGCAGCAGCTTTAAGAAATGAATTCCTGCTTAGGAATTCCTGGCTATGCAGCCAGCGAATTTGCTGAAGCTAGCAGAGCTGCAGGCTTAACTGTGTTGCAAGAGTTCTGTATTCTGTTTGTACTGTGTTAATTTATTCTTTCTGGTCTTCAGTGAAGTTATACTGCAAAGGAGTTATAAGCAAAAAGGGGCGATGGGGTGGTTAATGAAAGCTAGAGCATAGCACTCAGATGGCGTCTCAATAAAACATCCCAGTGAAGATGGGAAGGTAACAGTATGTATCTGCCTCTCCCAGGAATTGGATCCCCAGGCTGCAGTCATTGGGTTTCCACAGCTAACTTGGGCTACTTGGTTGTTACAGCTAGCATTTGTTTGCTGCCTCCAGGGCAGCTGGAGTAAAAAATAAGAAGGAATGCACACCATAAAAAGATTTTCAGGACATATCGACTGGCATAAATTAGTTAATGGAAAACTAGATATGGCAGCAGTACAACCTATCTGTTAGGATGCAAATATAGCTGATTTCCTATAAAGCAGTGGGGAGGGGAGGGGTGACCCAAAGCAAAGGCAAAGGAAGCCGCTGAATCATTCTTGCATGCATGTCCACCAAACTTTGATGCCCAGTGAGGGTTACGTACCGTCTCAGAACCACACTGGTGAGTCTGTGTATACCCTGCAAAAAAAAAGAAGAATCCTGGGAATTGTAGTTTACCCCTCACAGAATTATAGTTCCCAGCACCATTAACAAAATACAGTTCTCAGTGTTTGGGGGAGGAAGTGCTTTAACTGTATGGTATATATGCAGCCTAAGAGAGCAATCTCAACCATATCTACTAAACAGTAAATCCTGTTGAAATTGGTGAGACGTACACGCAGGTCAGTGGGCTAGGATAGCAGCCTAATTCACAAGAGACTGGATAAAAGTTGCTTTGGGGAGGGAGGCCAAAGAGGGGAAAGATTCTTTTCTGTGCCCCTACCATTTTGTCAGCCTTTCATTTCTAAAAGGTTTTCTTTATTTTATTTATTTATTATTATTATTATGAGGCTGTGCACCTCCACACCGTATAACACCAGTCCTGAAAGATCTTCATTGGCTCCCAGTACATTTCCGAAGACAATTCAAAGTGTTGGTGCTGACCTTTAAAGCCCTAAATGGCCCCAGCCTAGTATACCTGAAGAAGCGTCTCCACCCCCATCGTTCTGCCCAAACACTGAGGTCCAGCGCCGAAGGCCTTCCGGTGGTTCCCTCCCTGTGAGAGGTTACAGGGAACCAGGCAGAGGGCCTTCTCAGTAGTGGTGTCCACCCTGTGGAACGCCCTCCCATCAGATGTCAAAGAAATAAACAACTATCGGATTTTTAGAAGACATCTGAAGGCAGCCCTGTTTAGGGAAGTCTTTAATGTTTGAAATTTTATTCTGTTTAATATTCTGTTGGGAGCTGCCCAGAGTAGCTGGGGAGACACAGCCAGATGGGGAGGCTATAAATAAATTGTTGTTGTTGTTATTTTCCATCCCTACACTTTACATATTTTTAAGTGGTAGAGTACAATGTAGGAAAGCTACACACAGAGACACACATACACTACAAATATACACACACTATACTCCATTCTCAGAGCTTCTCTTTGAACTGCTCCTAATTTGTCACCATCCTTCTTGGCGTATGATGCTAAGAACAGTAAACAATGTCCTATCATAACAGAGCTGAGCAGTTCAATAAGTTCCCAAATGTTTTACAAGATGCTTTGGCCAATCTGAAAAGACACTGGCCTTTTAGGCTATATTCTTGAGTTATTTTCAACTACTTATTCAGTAAGGTGTCTAAAAGCTTGCTGCGGCAGCACTGTTGCCTAGCCTCTCCCTCTCCCTGCTCTACTTAAGTGTGCATCTTAGGGTAATCACTAGATAAATGAGAATATTGGTCTTATGTAGCTGAAACCGAGAGAATGCCTACGATTTGAAATTCAAGGAACTTGAGGTTGAGCAAGTCTGGTAAATTTATGAGCAACACTTCCCCGTATTTTTTTTTTCTAGCAAAAAGTGTGGATCACTGCCATTATCTGTGCTCTAGGGCAATGTTCAAACAAGTATTCATGATGTACAATAGTTTCATTGCTTCATGCCCTGAGCTTATAAGCTGTTCCCCAGTATTTGCAACTTGGGCAAGTTTAGGGAAAACCTTTGACCCTGCAATGATTCAAAGACACCTTGCCAAGAGCTCTTTCTGTTTCCTTGTTTTTTCTGTCAGCTTGCACCTCTTACCTCTATCCATTCCTGGGTTATGGCCTCTCCCTCTCTACGAAGTAGAACTGCAGTAGATTAATTAATTAAGATAACTTTTGGAGGAGACTAAAGGTTTTAAATAATTAAAATAAGTTTGATTGATGGAATAGATACCCTGATGTATTGCGTAGAATATATTTTAAAGGTGTTTGTAATAGAAGTACTTATAAAAATTGGCACATGAAACTAAGACTTCCTCCCCTCTCCCACGAACAGGAAGACCTGCCTCGTCTTTGATGATGTGTACTATGACACATTCTTGCATAATCTAAAAACAGTCTGCTTTTTGCTTCAGCGCTATTATTTTTGCTCATATACAAGTGAATCAGTTAAGATTTCTGTAATCCTATTATCATTCTAGTCCTAACTTCTCTAGGCTTGCTATCAAGCCACTTCAACTTCTTCTTTCAAGCCTTGCAACAAGCTACACCCATGGATTTGCCATAGACCACATTCTTTGCGTGCCAAAGACCCCAGTTTAACCCCCTGGCATCTCCAGATAGGACTGTCTGAAATTCTGGAGACTGTCAGTTAGTATAGACAATACTGAGCTCGATGTGATCAAGGGTCTGTCTTGATATAAGACAGCTTCCTATGTCCCTCTGTTATGATAACATGCAGAAGTGAGCCTAGGGCTTTGAGCTACACAGTGCTTCCTCCATCTGAAGAGAGAACATGAAAAGCTTCTATTCATGAAACAAGCTGCTGTTTCACATTTCATCCAAATACAGGAAACTGTGGTTTGCACAAACTACCATTTCTTAGCTGGATATCAAACCAGGATCTAACTAAGCCTGTGTACACATTATCAGCTTCAAACACAGCTAGGTTATTCTCTTTTTCTCAATTTGGATCAAATGCATCAAAACACAGTATTTCATAAGAAACCACAGGATAGGTACATGATGTATATGACTTGTGGCTAACAGTGTACGCTGCTTATCAAACCAGTGTTGGGAGCACATGGATGCAAAGTATGTGGGAATGTGTACACAGCCTGAAGGAAACAGAAAAATGCAGGACTTTGATTAAATGGTAAACTGAAAAGATTGTTATAAACCACAAACAGAATTTTTACATCCCTTTGCATGAAATAGAGGGCAGGCTCATAAACCTGAGACTAACTGCAGCATAGCTTATCGTTAGATCTGAATGTGGCCATACTTCCTTCTCCCACCATAGCCAAACAGACAGGATCAATCACTCAACAGTCATTGTCAAGAGTCAATAAGGACATTTCACAATTCAGGACACTGTCCTGAAGTGCATGAGATTGTCACAGTTTCTTCATGATTGTTGACCATCTGCATTTTGAATATTCAATATCCCAAGCCCTTTGTAATTAGAGCCCCAATTCAGTCGTTCAACCCCGTATGATTAGAAGCATATGAGGGGAACAGCAGGAATGAACCCATAGGCCCCGCCTCCTCCATCATGCTAAGGCTCTACTGAAGTAGAAAAGGCTCCCTATGGTGGACATTCAGTCCCCAATGGATGTATGGCAAGGGCAACAGGTGACAACAGTACAACAGAGGTGGCAAGACTCCATCATTCCATGAGGAGCAGAACATCTGTTTTTATCTCCTAGCACTGGTTCTCCTCAACATGGTTGCCCACAATTTGATACACACAAAAGGCATCTTTCTTGCCTTGGTTTGGTTTGGGAAGGGCTGTAGCTCAGTGCTAGAGCATCTGCTTTGCACGCAGAAAGCCCCAATTCTAATCTCTGGCATCTCCAGGTAGAACTGGGAGAAATTCCTGTCTGAAACCCTGGACCACCACTGCCAGAGCATCAGTGCAGACATTATTGGGTTGAATGGACTCAGTTTGAGGCTGCTTCCTATTTTCCATGTTCCATTAAGAATGAGAGATTAAGCACAGAGACTATTCCAAAGCAGTTTGTCTCACTGCTGATATAAAGGAGGCAATTTTCTTATTTCTTTTGGGTAAGGGTTCAAAGTAGATAGCCAGCTCTAATTCAAAGGAAGCCTCGCAGCTGAAATCCTTGCAGAATGCTTCATTCATTCATTATTGATAAGCATAGAACCAGTACAGCTGGAAAATAAAATATAGCTTTCTTTGTTCAAAAGAAAGAAGCTTCAAGTTTTCTAAGAGCTAGCATTCATGTAAGTTGCCAAGTGCATCTTAGGCTGTACAGAGACTTTAGCTTTTCAGAGACTTGAAGGCGATGTGATAGAGCCATTGTTGCCTGTGAAACAAACTTTTATCACCCTTTTACAGTGTCTGGATGTATAGGTTGGGCAGGCTTTCTAAAGCGTGTCTCAATTGACTCTTAACTCTCTCCTTTTGCACATCTATTTATATGCCACCCTTCCTCAAAAATTGATTTCAAGATCGTTCACAATAATGCAACTTAAAAGATACCATAGCCAATAAAATCATAAAACACAGAGATAGCAGCCATAGATAAAAGCCCAGAGATAAACTTTACCTAAAATGTCTGGGTGAATTCAAAGTATTTTTGCCTGATGCCTTAAAGGTAACAGTGGTGGTGCCTATTAAAACACCTCAGAGAGGGTCTTCCATACCTGGAGTGTCACTGCCAAGGAAAAACACCCCATTCCGTTTTCCTCTATTTGATTCTCTGCCAGTGGATAGATGATGGGTTTGGGATCTACAAGAACCACATGACTGCTACAATTGTATGCACTGAATCCATAACTGCCCCAAGCACAATAGAGAGGGAGTGAGAACCCAATGTTAAAAGGAAAAAACACCTGTTTGAGGAGCACACAATCCTCCTCTCCACCTGTGGCCTGCCTCCCTGCAGCCCCTCTTTAGTCTCTAGGCAAATTTCTTCCAGCTGTGACTCCAATACCCTGCCTGGGCGAGGAGGGTGGGGGAGTGTTTGGAGAAAGGAGCTGCAGGGAAGTAAATCAGGAAGAGTTACATACCATCTACATGTATGCCCACATTGTCTTTTAAGGTAAGCATCTACCAACCTCTCAGCATCCATATCTGTACAAGGAGTGAGGCAATAACCTACCTCTCAGGCCTGTTGAGAGGAGTGATTGAAGTGGATCATAAATTACTTTGTCCATTCAATGATTATTATCTTTACATATGAAACAACAGCAGGTAATGGAACACTTGTACGAAAAAGAAAACGGAAACCCTATAAAATAATAAATATTACCCTTCTCTTTTGAATATCCCTTATATTGAGCACAATGCTCAACATGGTATATGGTTACCCGATGGCACCAGTAATTTGCTGTGTTATGTTTAAAGTAGCATGTTGTGTTGAAGATGCAGCTTGCAACAGGCATATGCCCTTCAGTTCACCTTTTGGGGAGCTCAGATCCTCTCTTCTCTGAGCAACTTGCAAAATCTGCCGCACTGGCAGCTCAGGTCAAAAATGACAGCTGCTTCTGAGGCTGTCACACATGGATCAGCTACACACGGGTGCTTTGCCTGAAGCTGCTTTGCCACCTCCCCCGCCTGCCGTCTTGGATGATGTTTTTTTCCATTGACCCATTTCTTTTGATTCAGAAAATCTGCTTGCTCTGAGTAGGAGAGGCTTAGCTTATGTAAATCCGCTGACAGGTCTGGGTGCAGGCTTACAGCAAGGTCTTTCTCTGGCGGTTCATTTGTGGCCTTAACACGCAAATGGAAGGATCGGGTCTCCTCTGTAGTTAGAGGTATCACGAAGGGGGATGTCAGAGAGAAAACCATAAGCATGGGCAAAGCTCTGTCCAGAGCAGGGGTGGGATTCATTCTTCTGCCCCTGTTTGTCTTTTGATTGCTTTGCCATTACTCAATCTCTGTCTACTGCAGGTTGCATTTCTTTAAATTGGTATGCTCCTGGCTGGGGCTGGTGGTTTGTGAGCACAACACTGTTGTTTTCCAATCCTCTGGCAGTCTTCTGATCATCACTTACACAATGGGCATCACCAGTGCTTTTTTCTTTAAAAATAAAAAATAAAAAAATGTTTAGGGGTACTCTCATTTTCCTACTCATATTGAAATACTGCCCCTCAATGAGGCCAAACTTAGATTCACAAAAAGTTTAAGGGTATGCATACCCCTGTTTACCCCCAGAAAAAAAAGCACTGGGCCTCACTATTTACAGTATAGCTGGTGTTACTGATTACCCACCATCAGGTAGCTGTGGTCACTTGTGGTAACAATAGTGTGATTAGTTTCTCTGCATATTCATATGATAATGTGTCATTATCATGCATTTTTGAAAGAAGAAGCAGCCCAAAGAAATCAGTAGTGGTGGGACAGGGAATTGGATGCGCTTTGTTATAACAATACATAGAAATAACAAATTTTATTAAACTGTTTGTTAAAATATAACTGTTTGGCTGGGGATGGAGACAGAATGTCAAATGCAAACTTCAGAAGTGATGGGACTTCTTTATTAGCAAGGTCTGTTCTGCACCTTTTTTTCCTGGGATGGGAAACAAAACAAAGATTTATAATCATGGTCTGCATGTGAATAACGCAGACCATCAGGTAACAAAACCCCATTGTATTTTTTTTTTATAATAATTTTTTATTAAGGTTTTAAACAAACAAAAAAGAAAAACAACACACACAAAAAACAATACAAAACTTAACAATAAAAACACAAAACATAACAATTAAAAACAAACTCTCTTTTCCATTTCCAATTTTAAATTACTTATTTTCTGGACTTCCTCATACCTCCCTCTTTTGTATTCCAATCCACATTATTTGTCCAGCAGTTTCTTTTCCACTTTTTTAATCCCAATCTTTAATTTAATAAAACGTTAAAATATATAACTTCAACTTTTTTAAAACCTAATCCTTAAGCTTAATGTCATATAGCTTTAAATTTTTCCCTTTTATTATCAAATTTCCATTTCTTTAAACATCTTTAATCTTGATCTTTAATCTTAATCTATCCTTAACTTTAACCTGTACAGCTGGAAACCACTTGTTTTCAGTCCAACATCACTCTAACATTCCTTAATTTTGCAGTGTTTCTGAAGATAGTCTTTGAATTTCTTCCAGTCTTCCTCCATCGACTCTTCTCCCTGGTCACGGATTCTACCAGTCATTTCCGCCAATTCCATATAGTCCATAAGTTTCATCTGCCATTCCTCCAGCGTGGGAAGTTCTTGTGTCTTCCAATACTTTGCGATGAGTATTCTTGCTGCTGTTGTTGCATACATAAAGAAAATTCTATCCTTTTTTAACACCATTTGGCCTACTATGCCCAGGAGAAAGGCCTCTGGTTTCTTGGGGAAGGTATACTTAAATACCTTTTTTAATTCATTATATATCATTTCCCAGAAAGCCTTAATCTTTGGGCACGTCCACCAAAGGTGAAAAAATGTACCTTCAATTTCTTTACATTTCCAACATTTGTTATCGGGCAAGTGATAGATCAAAACCCCATTGTAACAAACAACAGTAAATCCAATCAGCACCTTCCATTTCCTTTCTTCTTTCAAAGCTTCGAATGGCCACATGCAGAAGAAAAGTTGGCAATTGCTGCAAAATTCAGAGAGACCTGCAGTAATTTAACAATTGACCAAAATTTTGGATTTTGTCAAATCATTGAAATTATGGGATTTCTTACTTATTCAGAAGTAAGTCCCAAAGAGTGTGTTCTTAGATAAGGATTGCATCATTAGTCTAGATCCCAAAATCCTCATGCAATTAATTTAAGAATTTAGTTGTGCTACAGAACTGCTGTTAACTGCCTCTTTCAGCTGTGGTTAAATAGCAGGGGGCGGTGATGACCAACAGTTGCTTTAAGTTGTGCTGAGTAATTGCAATGTGTTATTTTTTTTTTAAAAAAAAAAAAAGCTGGGACCAGATGTTCTCTTGCTCATGCCCTGTACTTGGCTTCTATGACATTCACCATATGGTGCACTGTTTATGGGCCTAATGTTAAGTAACAGTTGGCTGGTATTCAGTTTGAGAATGCTGCTAGATAATTCTGCAGCAGGTGTCCTGTACTTACGAAATAGAATGCTATTCCTCCATGCATCAGGAATATTATATCTATACCTGTGGCTATAGAGACAGACTGGAACAGTGAAGAGGGGCAGAGATATCACAATTATGAAATGGGATCAAGCTATTTCCACCCATATTTGATTTGCTGCTGTTTATGCATTTCCTCTCTGACCACTGGGAACCTGCTTTCTTCTAGGGCCAACACAAGGACGTAAGAGTTTAATGTAATATGCTGACATAGCATAGCACTGGCAGCCCATGTCTGGGCTCAAGCGAGCTCTGGTAATAAGAAACTGCTTTATAAGAAGAGCTTTTTAAGGTTTGGCAGTTAGGCATTGGCTTATTGAAGTGTGTGGGAGGTGAGGTGTGGCCATCACCTGCCCCTCCATGAATAAGGATACAGTAGTACCTCTGGTTGCGAACAGGATCCATTCCAGAGCCCCGTTTGCAACATGAGCAGAATGCAACGCACGTCTGCGCATCTGCACATGTGCAGGTCATGATTAGCTGCTTCTGCACATGTGTGTGACGTCATTTTGAGTGTCTGCGCATACGCGAGCGGTGAAACCCAGAAGTAACCCTTTCCAGTACTTCCGGGTCGCCGCAGGACGCAAGCTGAAAAGACGTAACCTGAACCGAACATAACAAGAGGTATGACTGTATTCCGGTAAAGGAATCTGGGGGTCCTGGATCTTGTGTGAAGTCCGCTTGAGGGGCTAGGGCCATGCCAGGACCACAGGAACCCCAGGGTGAGCTTCGGTTGGTCTGCATCAATGTTGCTCCCTCATTTGGTGTTTACCCTTTCAGACTTCCAGCCAGAGAGGCAGGAGTCAGTTATAATCTGTTGCCAATGCCTAAGCCAATACCGCTCACTTTGCTGTAATCAATAAAGTTGTGGTCTAAAATTTGCCCAATAACTTAAACTAAAATTACGTGTCAGCGTGAAGTTATTTTCAGGGGAAGGGCTTGGGGGCCTGGAAGCGCAACCTGCTGGATCAGGCCAGTGGCCCATCTAGTCCTGATTCCTGTTCTCTCAGTCGCAAACCAGTTGCCCATGGGAAGCCTGCAAGCAGGATTTGAGCACAAGAGCCCTCTCCCCTCCTGCATTTCCCAGCAACTGATATTCAGAAGCATACTCTATCTGACCTCAGAGGCCCCTACAGTCCATGGAGGACCATAGCTTCCATCATGGATAGACTAATGAATTTGTCTAATCCTCTTTTAAAGCCATCTAAATTGGTAGCCACCACTGCCTGCTGTGGGAGAGAGTTCTATAGTTTAACTATGCACTGCATAGTTTTCTCCATCTTGATACTAAGTAAGGCTATTGGTGCATCCAGTTCAATATTATCCACCCTAACTGGAAGCCTCTCTCTCTGGAGATGCCAGGGATTGAAAGTGAAACCTTCTGCAAGTGAAGCAGATGCTCTAACATTGAGCTACGGCTCTCCTTGATGTCTAAAAAGCAACAAGTCAGGTGTGCTTTCTCCCTCTCCCCCTTTTAAAGGATGGGATTGATGAGTGTTGGAAAGGGAGCAGGAACTGAAGAGGAGGACCACTGGAGGCAAAATAAATCACCCACACAGCCTGTAGTCAGTCTTCAGGGGCAAATCAAAGCATTCAGCAATCATATACTGCACCAAGGTGACCAGGATGTTGCATTGTCTAGTCTTGCTTGGGGATCAGGGAAAGAGTGCTGCTTGCAGGTTCGCCTGTGTGCTTTGCTTATTGTTTATTCCCCTGTGTTTAGTCCCTATTAAAAAGACATCCCTTCTCAGCTCTTTCTCCTTCCAGCACTGTATTTTATAGCAATTTTGTTGTCAGGAGAGCAATCTGTTTTCAAGTCAACTTGTTGCCGTAAGGTCTGTCTTGCTGCTGCCCCCCTCCCCACCACGAAAGCTGTAAATGTAGTTCATGGATCTAGTGTCAGTGCCCACAAAACTGTGTAACAAGAGCCCTGTAGAACTTTCAGCTGTGTGAGAGATAAATGTAGCAAACTGATGTGCTTTCCACTTTTACTCCAAGCATGGTGCAACATCAACTGTGCTGGTGTTGACTATGGTGGCAGCACAGAGCAGCAGCTCAGGGAACCATGGGGATATGTCCCAGGGAAGACAAGGAACATGGAAAAATTGGAGACAGGGCAACTGGCAGCTCTCAAGTTTAAAAAGAATGTGCTCCAAATATGAAATTAAACAGCCCTTAATATTGCAAACAGAAGAACCTACTTCTCACCCTTGGCCATTGAGGTACACTGTTTTTTCTTACATAGTTAGCTAAGAACTGGAAGTGATTTTTCCTTTTATAAAATAAAATTTGTTGTTGTTTTTTTTTAAAAAAAAAGAAACCACAGGCATAAGAATAATGTGTTCTCTTGCTAATTTAGTACAAGGGAGAACATGTGTCATAACACTACCAGTAATGGTACAAGAACATATTCCAGGATTCCTCTCTGATGACGATAACATAAGCGTGTTTGTGTGATACAATCAGTAGGAGTCATAAATCAGATAAAGGCTGTTCTTCTAATAGCACCTATTGGATTCTGTCTTTCAAATTACTGGTCTTCTTCAGTTAAAAGTCTCTGGTCTTCCATTATTTCCAACAGAGAGCAATGGAAATCCAATGGTGATTAAATAATTAGAAGAAAAATGATACAATAGTGCAACCCACTTTGCTGGGAGACCTCAGGTGGATGGTAGGTATACAGGCTAAAGTCATTCTACACTGGCTCTTGTCCCATGATTTGTGCCAGAATACATCACAAGTAGTTATGCCAATTGCACAGTCTCTAATCCTGGTTCTATTAGTGTTCAACTTTGAGGATTTCTTTTTTTTTAAAGCCCACAAGTTACAGTACCTTGTAAAACTACCTAATCTAACGGCAGTAATCTCTTTATGGCAGGGATGGGGAACGTGTGGCCCTCTAGATGTTGCTGGCTTCCTGCTGCCATCAGCCCCAGCCAGCATTCTGTATTCCAGGAACATCTAGAGGGCCACAAGTTAGCCACTCCTGCCTTATGGCCACATGGGCAAAAACATGTAATCCTACTTGGCTAGCCAAACACTCCTTCCTCTATCACGTTTTTCATTCCTGTAAAAGACATTAACCAGACTGTACACGTGTGCACCAGTGGTGGAGCTTCATGCTCTGGCCCCAGGGGGCGGAGACCAGGCGGGGGCGGGGCTGGCAGCATCCTGGGGGCATGGTGTGCCTCCCATAGGGGCCTGGTGCCCAGCTCTGGCAAGGGGGCAGCCGCAATGGCACCCCGCCGGGATCGCACTGCTAGTGCGGTGCACTCCCCCCACTCACCTCTTCTTCCACCAGTGGTGAGCACCATTCCCAGCCTTCTATACCAGGCCTCCTCAGCCTCGGCCCTCCAGATGTTTTGAGACTAAAATTCCCATCATCCCTGACCACTGGTCCTGCTAGCTAGGGATCATGGGAGTTGTAGGCCAAAAACATCTGGAGGGCCGAGGATGAGGAAGCCTGTTCTATACTGTTTGCTTCTTTTCCTTTAGTTTGTTTCTCTCTGTGTACAATCCTTAGCTTTTGCAGTTTTTACAGGGCCTATGCTGACCTCCACAAACCAATCGTGGCTAAACCACCAAATTGCTATGGTAGTAGCAGGGACCTCTTCGGTGGGTACTTCCTGTTCTGCTCCCTCTTTGGGCACTACTTCCTTCCTGCTGCCAAGAGGTTGTGGAGTATGAGCAAAGCCAGAGTATCATTTTCTCTCATAGTACTCTCCGTCAGGATGAATTAATTTTCTATGTTGTAATATTCCGGTTGTTAACAGAAGCGTTCCCTCCACCTCAGGGTGGAAGGAAGTTGATATTGCTACATTCCTTACCGTAATACAAGGTCCCAGGATATTACTGCGCACATAATTCCTATGAAAACTGTCATATCGCTAAGCCCTCTCTTCACTTCTATACAGACGAGCAAAAAGTAATTTTCCTTTAGCTGCTACTACAGGAAAAATTCAAATGCATGAGCCCAAGGGGTAAAGGCCATGAAATTCCACCCCACTCCAGTATGCCTCCATTTAAAGCAATGGAGGCCAAGAGTGGCTTGTATAAATGTAGCCATTACCCTCTCTCCAGGTGATTCATGACAGAAGCATCAATCCTGTTGACAAAGACAAAGCACCACATCCCGCAGCTCACAGAAAGCATGATGCAAGGTTGTACTGCTTCCAGCTAGATAAAAACAAAACAAAAAAAATTCCATCATACTTGTTTGACTTTTCTCTTGGAATTTAGTACTCTGCAGTCTGTAATTCATTTCTACAGTATCTTGCATTTGAGCCGCACCATCCTGGGAAATGACCTCAACAGAAGTAACAACTTACGTTCCTAGAGCAAGTAACACCACAGCCCAGCATCTATCAAATGGAGCAGAGTTCTCAAAGGCAAAGCAATCCTCACCCTTACATAATAATTTTTCTTCCTGTTTTAGCCATTGCAATATGCTGTGGTAGTTCTGGTATGGTTTTCAATTGTCTTTTCTATTGCTTCTTTTATTTCTTATATTGTATTTTATACTGAGTTATACGGAATTCAAATTGTAATACAATAAAATGCAACTTGTTTCTGTGAACCTCCCTGAAACCTCTGGGTATAGGGTGGTATATTAATTCAATAAATAATAACTTAAGAAATAAAAGAAGCAATAAAAATACAATTAAAAATCAGTATGAATATTTCATGCAGACACTCCACAGATCACTTGAATGAATCTCACAGACCACTGGTGGTCCATGGACCACAGTTTGGGAACCCTTGTACTAACAAAACAAAAAGAGGGAGAGGCACAGTAAAACATTTTCAGGCAAAATATACATTTGTGGCATTCCTCAGAGGACAGTTTGTTGATCTAACTATCCAGTTCCTGTAGCTCAGCCAGATCACAAAGATGCAATGCATTCAATTGAAAATCTTACACACACAGGTTTCAAGTCTTTAGATGCTCAGAAGCTAGCTAGATGATGCAGCCCTAGCACCTGCCAACTACTGGACTCTTCCAGCTTCTTCCATGGTCACATGCTATGGGACAAAACTCTGTGTGTGTGTGTGTGTGTGAGAGAGAGAGAGAGAGAGAGAGAGAGAGAGAGAAGGAACCAGTGAAAGAACAGGAAAAGGGTATCAGTGGATGTATCCAGGATCTCTGCATGAGATCTTTGAGCGGGGAACCTAAAGCCCTATAGGTGTTTTTTGGACTCCAACTCCCATCAGCCCCAGCCAGCATGCCTTATGCCTGAGGATGATGGGAGCTGGAGTCCAACAACATATGGAGGTCCACAGGTTCCCCAACCCTGTTTTAAAGGGACAAACATGATCTCCAGCTTGACAGGTGGCAACATTTTTGAAAGCCAATTTTTGAATGTGCTGTGGTGATTCACCCTGCTTAAACTTACAGGAGAATTTACGACACTCTTAGTGTAGACTTGTAAGACCGATGGAGCAAATTCAAAGATAAGCGTACAAAAATGGTGGCTGATCTGAATTATAACTTGGTTTGCCCTGAATATTTATTCTGACTATTACAGCCTTTAGCAACTATTAACCAAATCTAATGTGTTCCACGGCTCGGAAACAGCATCAGGAAAGCAAATGAACTAATTTGCTTGTATAATTATTTTTTCTGATGAAAGAAACAGGTTGTAAGGAAAGCTACAAGTGACCCCGGCTCGAGTCTTTAATGACAAATGACTGCTAATGCACTATTTGCAAAGAACTGATGCAATATTACTAAAAGTTGGTCTCTCAAGGGGTCTGTTTGCTTTGCAAAAGCTCATCTGTGTGTCAATGGCATGACGCAGTGAGAAAAAAGCATTTGCAAGCTGAAGGTCAGCCAGCTCTGGGGGTTACCTGCAGTTAGACACTGAATTAGTCTCTCTGCTTGTACTTGACTCGGAACTTTCCATTCTACCCCAGGGCAGGGCAATCTCTTACAGACAGATAAAGGTTTAATTGACCTGTGACAAATTCTTTTCTCAAGCTATTCAAACCCACACTTTAATTACCTTTACAACTGAATTTAAAAGAGGATTGGACAAATTCATGGAGGATAAGGCTCTCAGTGATTACTAGCCATGAAACCTACTGTATGCTTCATCTCCACAGCTAGAAGCCACATGCTTATGAATACCAGTGGCAGGAGGAGGGGACAGTGCTCTTATGCTCAAATCCCGCTTTCAGGTTTCCCACAGGCATATAGTGTCAGGGACTGGCTGGATGGGGAGGAGTGGTGGAAGCTGCCTGACCAAGAGTCCCCCAGGGAAATCACACAGGGAGAGAGTTTAGGTCCTGGATCCTGGTGGTGGGAAACTGGCCACACTCCAGGCAAGGGGACAACCAGAGGTTGGGAGCTTAAAGGAAGATGAAGGGGAGGAAACAGGCAGGTGCCGCAGGAATCAGATTTGGCAGCTCAACCCTGACAT